AATGGGGTACGTTTGGTATTAAGAGAGGGCTGTCCACAATGGACTAACCCGTTGCACACCACACATGGCAAAATGATACTAAGTAGTCTATTCCTGTTTCATGTGTTAATTTGTATTAATGATGCCTTTTTATTTTTTGTATTTCTGGTGATTTGTCATCTGTGGCCTTGTGGGTCTGAAGAGACTGCCCCTTCCAGGGCTAGCCAATGCCTAGTAATAGGAAAAGACTTAGCTGGCAGTGTGTTTTCACATGCAAACTAACCAATCCAGAACCCATACCCCAACCACCGCCTCTATCAGGCTCTCATGCTCTGGGCCACTATCCTTCTGCTCGAATCACTCCAGGGCCAGGTACTAGACAACTAGAGATAATCCTCCCACCACTGAGCCCACCAAAATTATACAAACCAGACAATTCTAAGCCTACTCACCCGACCTTATTTGTTCCTGCCCATGGAAAACACAAAAGGCTCTCGCCCCTGTTTTCCTTTGGTTCCTTCTGCTTCTGACTGACCCTGGTACTTCCCTGTATGGCCCACGTGTGTCGCCTGCCCCTCTCTTCTTGGGAACTTGAGAGTGACAAACTGCCTTTTCAATAGCAATCACCTCCTGATCTATTGGTCTTACCTTTCCTGAATAATAATAAAACCTATGTTTAAAAATACAGTCTTACAGACTTAGAAGGAAGAGGAAATACTGTTTTTTTTTGTTTTTAGATAGAGTCTCTGTTGTCCAAGCTGGATTGCAGTGGTGTGATGTCAGCTCACTGCAGCCTCGACTTCCTGGACTCAGGTGATTATCACACCTCAGCCTCCCTAGAACTCTGGACTACAGACATGTTTCACCATGTCCCGCTAATTTTTGTATTTTTAGTAGAGACTGAGTTTTGCTATGTTGTCCATGTTTTGCTATGTTGTCCCAGTCTTGAACTCCTGGGCTCAAGTGATCCTCCCATCCTGGCTTCCCAAAGTGCTGGGAGTGTAGGTGTGAACCACAGCACCAGGTGGAGACCTTTCTTTATAGCCACAAAATAATCCCTCTGAAACACACTGGTGTGTTCTGATAAGCTATCAGTCAAAGGAAACCCCACTGTACAAGAATAAGAGTTGGAGAAGGAACACGCTCCAGTGAGCTTTATACTTTATCATAAAACTATTTAAAGCATGCTTATCTTTAAAAATATTAGAGAGCATGTAAAAGTCTCTCTATTTATTGATTTTAATATATTGGAGTAGTGTTTTTGAAAATTCCCTTAAAGTCAAATATGCCTATAAATAGGAAACTTTGCAATAACTTTCTATTGATGGCTCCTTGCCCATTAGAAATATTTGGAAGTTGGCCGGGCACGGTGGCTCACGCCTATAATCCCAGCACTTTGGGAGGCCAAGGGGGGAGGATTACAAGGTCAGGAGTTTGAGACCAGCCTGGCCAACATGGTGAAAACCCTGTCTCTACTAAAAATACAAAAATCAGCCGGGCGTGTCGCACATGCCTGTCATCCCAGCTACTCAGGAGGCGGAGGTAGGAGAATCGCTTGAACCCAGGAGGCGGAGGTTGCAGTGAGCCGAGATTGTGCCATTGTACTCTAGCCTCAGTGACAGAGCGAGACTCCATCTCAAAAAAAAAAAAAAGGGAAATATTTGATTTGGAAGTTATGATTACATTGTTTTACAGATTATTTAAATTACATATTGTTAAGAATTTTGGAGCTATCAATGTGTAAAGAGTTTATATTGTATTGATCATCAATGCTGTTAAAAGTTATTTATTACTTATAGTGATGCGTGGCTATTGAGGGGAACATAGGTAGGCACTGGGATCCTATTTGAGGTCTTCCCTAGTATAATAGAAATAACTTAAATGTTTAAAAAGCAGGAACGATATACGTATTTGAGATAATGACTTTAGGAGGTAAATCCTGTGGCAGGGGCCAAGAATGACAGGCAGTCATATTTTAGCAACCAGGCTGTTCATTCTATTTCCTCAGAAGACAAACTGCATTCAAGATAAATGAGGCAGGGCTCTTGAGCAGACTTGCAGAAAACGTTTATATTCCCTGTTTCTAACGGAGAATCACCTGCTGCCATCTGCTCCTACTCCAGCTGCCAAGTCCTTACAGCTGGGTTCCACTGAGGAGCCCAGTGACTGTCAGAACACCGTGATCTCAGAAGACCACCACCAGAGGAATAAGCACACCCCACAGCCTGCTCTCCAGGCTTCTTCTCTTCAAACAACTGAGGCCTACTTTAAGGAATCTAGAAGTATTAGTTAAATGTTGTGTGAGCGCCCATTATATTATCTGAATCTATACTGCTTTGGGAAGAGTTAGTAGGCAAAATAGAGCTTAGTGTCTAAGGTAAAGAGACATAAAAATGATGGATGGTGCTGTAAGCCACTCCCATATGCTAAAAATCATATTTAGTGTCAGTTTACCAAAGGCCTTTGTAGAAGTGTAACTACGTCAGTATGTATAAACAATTGTTGATGTAGGTTTCCAAGCCTAGCAATGGACTAGATGGATTGAAAAAGTATGAATAGCAGAAATGCTAGGGACAATGGACACAGTGGTCACTGCTGCCTGGTAGCCACTAATCTCATTCTTTCCCACTCACCCTCCCATTTTCTACTCAGATGGTGGGCAGTAATCTCTTGATTTCAAGGGAGGTATGATTTTCCCTAGTCCAAAAGGATAAATCATAACTGCTTCCTTGTCCAAGGTATAGAAATTGAGTGTAGGTCAAAAGAAAGAAGGCTCAGCAAATGAAGAACTTAGTGAGTTTAAAATCTAGAATAAAAGTGTAAAGCTGAAAGAAGGAAGAAAGCAAGGACACAATGTATTAGGGAGTTTAAGCATTTTAGAAAATTAGAGATACTTATCAAATATATAAACAAAGGTTAATCTTTCCCCTTAACTAAGAGAACTTAATTGCATAGAAGTAAATGTGTTTGAACAGACTGGCATGTGCTCTGAGGTCAGTACCTATAATCTCTAAACCTTTTTAAACCTCTTTGCATGTTGAGGTAAGCTAGTTATCTAAAGAATAAACACAGACACTATTAAAGGCTTTTCTTGTCTGTATACACTGAGTATGATTCATCAAATAGGTGACTAACTTTCTAGCCTTTCTACATAGAAGCTGCCCATGGGTTCACATGGATGCCGCATTTGAACACACTGGACTGTAGTCCTCATAGAAGGATGAATGGGCATGTGTTTATAAAGCAGTTATATGAGGCCTTCCTCTACATCCTTTCAGTCATGGTGATAGTCAGGTTAAACTCCTTTCAAGAAGCAGCCAAATTTTAGATTATGAAAAGCCAATATAGTACAGGTTCCTATATGGAAATGCCAATCATTAATTCTTTATGTACCTCAAGTTCCACATCTGTGAAATGAAACATTTTCTTAACCCTCATAGAAAGCATTCAGTGTTAGAGTCAGGTGTTTCTGCTCAGCATAACACAGTGATCTTATATAGACTCTGAAAGCAAGAAACCATGAAGAGAGTATCCCAGGAACTTGGCATTCCACGTGCATGTAGGAACAGGTGGCAATCTAGTTTACAGTGTTAGAATTTTCTTTCTAAACTGACATACTTTAAAAGTGGGACAGATGATTTTGATATTATATGTTATTTATTGTTTTGAATAATTTTAATGTTCATTGCCTTTTAATAAAGTTTATTTTACTTTATAATTTTTTAAAGTCTATGAAAATGCAGATCAATTTTAAATAAAAATTTAAAATTTCCTTTTTTCTTTCTCATTTTATTAATCTTAGCAATAGAATTCAAATTAATTAAAACTGACAAGTACATTCCAAAGGTTGACATGTTTTATTAAGAATTCTTGTTCTTGGCTTCATTTCTGCTGACTCTAATTTTTTTTAAGTATTCTATTGTTCTTTCATTAGACATAAAAACTTGAGCAGTTAAAGTACTTTTTGGCATTCTCTCATAATTATTCCTCATTTTAATGTTTTGTCTTCTTTTCCATTTTAAAATGTGATATCTTTTTCTTCTTCTATTTACACAGTACCAAACTCCTATACTTTTCTCTTTTCTAGAATGTGAGCCTTATGAATATAAATCTCCTATATATTTATTTAGATATTTAAAAAGTATCTCCTTTATATATTTTATGGGTTCACTTAAGTAGCCAACATACAAAACTCACCCATGATTAAGGTATATTAACCCAAGAGCATGATTTTAATTCCTGTTGTAACAGACTCATCGTGAGTAATCCTCTACGTTCCCATTTACTTTTACATGCTCACACAGCTGTTGTATTGTCTTGTGTACACAGCATGTAACGTTACAAAATTCAAATATGCTGATAACAAAAGCTTTATAGGTTGATTAAGTTAATTGTAAGTACACCAAAAGATAGCAAGTATTATTTGCTTTTCTTTTGGTTCTTTCTCTCTCTCTTTTTTTTTTAAATAACACATGAACACACACACACACAGACACACACAAATGGCCAAGTAGAAGTTTTCATTTTGACAAGCAAATACACAGAAAACTCCCACTGCTTCTGTCATCAGATCAAATTCTAAGGCACTCTACTCTCTCAAAGTTTCAGCCACTAAAATAAGTGTAAAGCAAAGAATACACCACAGCAAGCTCTAAACAAATACAGCAATTCAGACTTTTATCAGAAGCAGTTTTTATGTGCCTTCACATTAGCACTGGGATTCTGTATATGAACAGATATATCATGCGGCAGCAGCGATTAACGAAAGAATCCAAGAAACACTGCAGTAGAATGATCACATTTCAGCATGGAAGAATAGCACTGTGTCCAATCTGTTGCCACAATGTGGACACCGTGGAGAGCTGAACGGATCATGACAGAAAACAAGGGCATAAATAAAACCACACACAGTCTAGGTCCTGAATTTGTGGTGATATAAATATCCCCAAATTATCAAACGCAATCAACAACAATACCTGGCAATTTGTCTCCAAATTAAGAACAAAGCACCCAGCTCTCACCTTGCCCAAACATACACTTCAGTGGTCAGTGACAAATGCAGGCTGCACTTGCAAGCTGGGAGACAGAGCAGCTGCTCTGTCCTGAGCCGCTTAAAGCACATTCGAGCCCAACTCAGGTCCTACTGTGTTTGCTCACTGCAGTTTCTCCCATGACTCCATCACCCAGGAATGGAAACCACGGCTCACTCCCCAGCACTAGTGGGCTCCCCAGCTACTAAGCTCAGGTAAAAACGCTGAGTCCTGCAAGGTCACCACAAGGTGACCACAAGCCCAAGGAGTATACAGGGAAGAGGAGGGACTGTCATGGAAAGACCCTAAACTCCAGACACCTTGCCTTTCGAGATTCTGAACTCCATAAATCAGAGCTGGGACAATAAGAGGACAGAGACGCAGTAAATCTGAGAATCCCAAATGGCACCAAGCCAAGCAACCAACCCAGGCAATAACCTCTCTCTCTCTAAATACACACTTGCGCGCGCACGCACACACACACACTCACACACACAGACTTCAGTGTAGCTATTCCAATTGCCCAGACATCCCTCTCAAGCCAAAAAGTTGTTTATTATTTTCAGGTTTCCAGGTAACAGGGCTCAAAGAAGGGTTGTAGAAAATTAAAATATTTGCCAAAATCAAATTAATTCTAAGAGCAAAGTGATTTCTGGCCCATAAACTCATATAATAAAGTCTTGTGTTTGCGTACATACTGGAATTATTCAAACTCCCATATTAAAAAAAATAGTAAAGATGTATTTATTTCAGAGCTGACTGACAGAGTCAATTAAAATTTCTCATAAAAATTCTTATCATATTTTTCAAAATTAGTCTCAATTATGCACATTTTAATTTGGGGGGTCTTTAAGAAGACATTTCTTGCCAAAAAATATAATCACTCTGAATATATATTATAAATAGATACAAACATGTTAATAAATATTTCCCTGTAGAGTCTCTCTAAGTTTTTATTTCTCATATTTTGATCTTCTTAGAAGTGGAGAAGTAACATTTTTTAATCTTGCATGTGCTTTACAAAACATTTCTTCTTCATTGTATACATTTTTTAATAGGTAAATAATGACTTACTGAATTTTACATTGATTGCATGAGCAAGAAATTATTCTGACTCTTTAGACATTTTGTTTTACCTCTTTCTCCAACCACCATTGTTCATTAGCAATTTGAGCTCCAAGGCATCAATTTTGTAATCTATAAAACAGGGATTTGTTACTAGTGCCTGTTTTGTCTTCTTCCTTGGCTGGGGACATGAGGGTGAAATGGGACAGAGTGTAGGAGAAAATGCTTTCTATATGTGCAGTACTTGAAAAAATGCACTTGCTGCATTTCCCCCCTCTATCTCCCCAGTTAGTACTGGGACTAGTAAATTACTTGCTGCATTCTCAAGGAAGGCTTCTTGGGCTTCAAGGAAACTGTTTGTTTCAAGTGGGCTATAAATACAGTTCAAGATTTTATTGAACTGCAGTTCTCTTTGTGGCAGACCTTGAGGGCAGCCACCACATGGCCAGAGTCAGTTAATTGTGAGCAACATGAGCCCTGTCTAGTGTTTGAGGCAGAACAAGACTAGTCGAAACTCTGATAGAAAATGCTTACTTGCATGGCTGTTTACATAGCTCACCTAGTGTCCTGTTGTACTTCTGTGTTTGAGGGGGCTGGAGAAGGGGATTAATGAAGGGGAAAGGTTAGCTATGGAATGCCAAGTTCACTGCTAATTCAGTCACACATGCATTTGGGCATTCATGCTAATTTCCCTACAATTACTTATGCATTATTTAGAGGTTAAGTTGTGGAGAGGGGTGGGGAACAGGAGAGGGAGACAGGTGGAGAACAGGAAAGGAACTAACAGTGTGGCCACCTGTCTTATGAGACCCACAGGGCTGCGAGCTGGGAACTTTAGGCATATTTTCTCAGTTAGCTCTCATAATAATCCTAGGAAATATCTGTTATTCTTATTTTACAGATGAGCATAATTAGCCTGTACACTGTTAAAGAGTGAGTGGTGAAGTTAGAAGTACAATCAAGATCTACATGGCCTAGAATTCCATAGACTGAGTAAATTAGTTAATTTAAAGCTTTTTCAGAAAAAGAAAGGAAATAAAGTGTGGTTTTTATATAGTGTGAATAGGGAAGGCAAAAATACAAGTTGCTCAGAAAACTTCTTGAGCATATTGATTAGGCAAGTTAACTTTTACAGAGTCCACAGATTTTTAGAAAAATAAGTTTTGATTTTTTTAAACAGTGAACTCATTGCAAGATGCAGAGAGAAAAAATCAATTTTTATTATTAGTGCCAATACTTATTTTTTAAATTGAGTCCTGCTTGTTTTTCAATTGAAAAAGCAATTTAGAAGTCTTTCTATATAGTAGACTATTACTCTGTTTTTTCTTTAACATACACACATGCATTATTTTATCTTAAATTTCTTAAATTATCAGACCCTTAACAATGCTCTTAAGGAAGCAAAGCAATCTCTTGACCTCAGATGAAGCAGAAGACTTTTTTTCAACTGCAGTGTGGAATATAGTACAGTAGCCATAATTTTCAGTCTCCTGGGTTTGAAGATGTTAATAAATTGGCAGTTTCTTTCAACAAATTTTATTAGAAAACTAGAAGCAGAATCTGAACTGCAGGACTACATGTGTGTGTCTCTGTTCTACCCTTTAAGTAAGTGTCATTTCCAGCTGTAAGAGAAATATTTAAATTATATCTGAAGTCAGTTTTCAATCATTCAGATATCTCAATTGAAAAATAATAAAAGTGTAAACAGTTTAAGGCACTTTCTTCAAATTATTATACTGCCCCACTAAGGTATTTCTTTACATTTTTCTTTTTCTTTCTTTCTTTTTTTTTTTTTTTTGAGTGGAAGTCTTGCTCTGTTGCCCAGACTGGAGTGCAGTGACATGATCTCGGCTCACTGCAACCTCTGCCTCCCAGGTTCAAGTGATTTTCTTGCCTCAGCCTCGCTAGTAGCTGAGATTTCAGGCACATGCCACCATACCTGGCTACTTTTTCTGTTTTTAGTAGAGACGGGGTTTTGCCACGTTGGCCAGGTGGGTCTTGAATTTCTGACTTCAGGTGATCCACCCATCTCGGCTTCCCAAAGTGCTGGGATTACAGACATGAGCCACCAACCCGGCCGGGTATTTCGTTTCTCAAATGCTACTGCTAGTTATTTCCCTAGTGTAATTACTATGGCAGAATAAAAGAGCACATTGCTTCCTCCCTTTGTCTCTGAACCTCCATGTTTTTTTTTTTTCTCTTTTGGATTTTAAGATCTCAATTTTAGAATCATATATGGAAAAGATACTTGCACTGAAGTTTAAAAGTATGGAGAAGAAAGCATCCAGAAGAATCGGTCAAAATTTGCAATCAATGAGGAGAATAAATAGGATGTTTTGGTTTTCTATTTGGTTCCTGCTACCTTGCCCAGTAATGATACCTTCCTGATGTTTCCTAGAGGCAGTGTTTCATTTCACACAGATACTCAAGAAGGTCTGGCCCAAAGTCCTCATAGTCTTTCCACTTAGAGTAGAACTGGGTTCATGAATGAGTCAGATGTTGTTTCTAGTGTGTGAACTAATGAAGACAAGTACTTTTCTAACACATTTTCCCTGCCACTCCCTCCCATTTGGCTTTTTAATTTAGGCCTTAGAAAAAACTCCAAATGATTAACTTCACAGTTAATACTTATTAACTGTGAAGAGTGAATACTGTCAAAACTCTGAAAGTCATTTAGGCAAAAAAGTGAAAGTAATTCAAAATGTGAATGCTTTTAGCAACCATCTTACACGGATGTTTAAAGACAATGTGTGTGAGGTCTCTTAACTTATTCTAGAAAATGTAGCACAGGTATAGAGTTAAAACCATGACATTGAACACCTCCTGAGCATTCATAGTTTATTGTATTTCTAAATATAATTGTGGTATTTTGTTAGATTAAGTAATATTTTTCTAGGTAGGAATAGATGTAATTCTTAATGCCTTTCCTACCTTAAGATGTAAAGAATAAATGTCTTGCTTTCATTCAAAGCTTCCTAAATACATTCAAGTGGTTTTAGAAAAAGAAAAAGAAGAAAGAAATGAAGGAAAGAAGGAAAGAAGGCAGGAAGGAAGGAAGGGAGAGAGGAAGGGAGGGAGGGATGGAGGAAGGAAAGGAAGAAGGAGGGAGGGAGGAAAGGAAAGGAAGAAGGAGGGAGAGAGGGAGAGAGGGAAGGAAGAAAGGAAGGGAGGGAGAGAGGGAGGATGGGAAGGAAGGAAGGGAGGATGGGAATGAAGGAAGGAAGGAAGGAAAGAAGGGACAGAGGGAGGATGGGAAGGAAGGAAGGGAGAAAAAAAAGAAGGGAAGAAGGAAGGAAGGAACCTGAAGATTATCCCTTTGTGAATTCTGGAGAAGGAATTCCTGGGCACTTAAAGCTATTTTAAGATGTACAAACAAGGTCATTCAACATATTTGAAATCTTTTAAAAATACAGCCTTGTAGTATAATTGCACCCCACCCCTACAACCACACACACACCTAAAACATAGCCATTATAGTCAGGTGGCTCATGGACAGGAAAGGCCCTTAGGCACCCAGCTGCCTGAGCTGAGTGATAACAGTATCAGCTGCTATTCCATCAGAGCACTGCATGTGGGGTTCTGTCAGGAAGCCTGGGACACACAGGAACATAAGTGCTCCTATTTCCATCAACTGAATCCTTGATGACAAGGATTCAGTTGATGGAAACTTCAAAAACATTAGTGTCAATACCCCTAGTCCTTAAATAACTAAATGTACATCCATATCCCATGATGCAATCATACTGAAATTAGAGAACTGTGTTAGGATTTTGTAAGAGATTTTATGATACATTACTGAGTACAGCATATTAGAAAATAGTGTACAATGTGATCCAAACTTTGTAATAAATATTCAGTATATAGAAAAATCTGAAAAATATGCATTATGATATTAGTAGTTTTTATCTCTAGGCAGCGAAATTACAGCAATTTTATTTTCTTCTAGATCTTTTAGCATTTTCTAAATGTTTTTCAATCACTATTACTACAATGTAGTGAAAGAAAGAAAAAGAAAAGAAAGAAAGAGAGACAATAGTAACTCTGGTTCATAATAAGGGATAATTTTTGAAAATTTTTTGACAAAGTTAATTTGCCATGCTTATAATCACTACAAGTGGAAAAATTCCAGTTTTCAGACATGTTATTACCATTACTCTCACTATCTGCATTAAAAGTATTCATGGTACACATATGGTGCTATAATATAAGGAAAATATAGAGTACTTTGGAGTTCACTGATTTTTAAAATATAAAAAGTGATAGAGGGAATATGGCAGGCATGTGTATGTGTGTGCAGGAGTAAGCGTGTATAAACTCAAACACGAAGCGTGTATAAACTCATATCAGTATAAACAGCATGACGTACATTCACGAATGTATAATCATAGTCTTGGGGTAACTGCTTATATTTAAAAAGGACATGGTGAATTAACACATTTATAATCAAGAAATTGTATTGTCTTCTAACATATTATGTTGCATGAGCACATATTTCAGAGAGATCTCTGTAATAGCAGCATAGGTTGGTTTGGAGGCGAGCAGGTGCATAGGGAGAGATTACATTGCTGATGTTACCTGTATCCTATTTGTATTTTTGTTTTCATTCTTTACGTCTTTCTGACGTAACCAGGAGCCAGCTGGTAAATAACTCAGAATTACAAAAAATAAACAACATCGGCTTGTTAATTAAATGGCAAACTCAATGTATGCCAGACTCTGGGGACAGAGTCTTCAGCACAAAAGCCTTAAGCCAAGTCAGAAAATTTGGATTCAGCCTACAATTCACTCATCCACTACTCATTTGTTGGTTTGTTGAAATAACATTTGAGGGACTGGAAAAATAGAAAGACCAAATCCACATCAATTGAACATTTCACTTTTTAATAGTTAAGTCATAGCCACGTGTTTCCTTTTTAAATTGAAACAAATTTTCCTAACATGCATATTTGGAGAAAATGCTCCATCAGCTGACCAAGGCTACATTTCAAAGGAAAGGGATTTATTCTTTAACTAGAAAGTCAACACAAATGAAATCGGAAGTTCACTAATGCTCTTAGATATGATCGAGCTAGAGGCTCAAAAATATAAACGTGATGTTTTCAAAACAACAGTCACCAATAAACTCTCTTAAGAAAAACAGTAAATATTTTTACATACGTTCTATCTTCTGTTGGCCTTTAACCAAACTAACGTGTAGGTTTGCATTATTCCTACTCTTTAACCAGAATAATATTATTCAAGTTATTTTTGGAAGCTGAATAAGGTTTGAATACACTTAAATTATATTTTTATGTAACGATCTGATATTATTCTAAATCTCATCTTAGTTGATTAAAAAGTAATTGAAAATTTAATAATTTATGCCTTCATATAAAAATAATAGGCTGGGCATGGTGACTCATACCTGTAATCCCATCACTGTAAGATGAAGCAGGAGAATCATCTGAGGCCAAGAGTTCAAGACCAGCATGGGCATGGCAACATAGTGAGATATTTTTTTACAACATATTTTTAAAAAATTAAACAGGCATGATGCCACGTGCCTGTAGTCTATAGGCTACCCAAGAGACTGAGGCAGGGGGATTACTCGAGCCCAGGAGTTTGAGGCTGCAGTGAGCTATGACTGTGCCACTGCACTCCAGTCTGGGAAACACAGTGAGACCCTGTCTCAAAATAATCATAAGAGTAAACTATTTGTCTTATGGATTATATTTTATCATTAAAAAGACAAGTTTTTCAGTTTAATCCGCTCAAGATAATGATCATATTTGTTCAAAATTTAGGAATTTACTATGAAGACAAGTTTCTATTTAAATTTAAAGATCTTAATATTAAAGAAAATTATATCTACATGCTTATCACCTGTACACTATGCCTATTTATCTGCATACAAATATAAAAGTGTGTGTGTATATATATATATATATATATATATTCCAATCTTGTTCATGTGTAGAGCTTTATGTGGTTGTAGTCATAGTACACATATAAAATTTTGCTTCATTATTTTGCTTAGAGTATTTTATAAGCATTTTTATTTGTATCTCCAATCTTCAAATGAGATATCAAACACTAAGTAAACTAAACTATAAAACAGATAAATAATTTATATATTTGTTATTTTCAATGCCTGCATAATATCTTTTGAATCAATTTGATACAGTTTATTTATACATTTCTCTATTTGAAAGCACATATTTGTTTCCAGTTTTGTTAGTAAAATTATACTGTTATGCTACTAAGAAGTCTTTTGTTTTTCTACAGATTTCTTTTTTAAGAACTCCTTTTAGAAGACTTTTTAGAAATTTCTAGTAAAATGGATCAGTGGATTAAAAAGTCTATTCTTCTTTGTCTCTCAAAAGTTGAAGAACAATTCATCATGGTGAGTGTTAGCCAAACTCCTCAGTGCCACTGTATGTCAGTTTCTTTTTAAAATTATTATTATTGAGCAAATATGTATTTTTAACTTTTATTTTAGGTTCAGGGGTACATATGCAGTTTGTTATATAGGTAAATTGCATGTCATGGGGCTTGGTATACAGATTATTTCATCATCTAAGTAATAAGCATAAAACCCAATAGTTAGTTTTTTGATTCTCACCCTGCTTCCTCCTTCCATCCTCAAGTAGGGCCTGGTGTCTGTTGTTCCCTTGTTTGTGCCCAATGTTTAGCTCTTCACTGATAAGTGAGAGGATGTGGTATTTGTTTTTCTGTTCCTGTGTTAGTTTGATAAGGCTACTAACCCCCAGCTCCATC